CAGGGAAATAATATTCCTGGGGACCTGATCAAACACACGGGCTGTAGGTCTTTCTCACCTTCCCAGGCTCATATGGCTTCAGAAAATAAAGGAAAATAATGATGTTGAATGACTGGAAACCTCTTCACATCATTTACCTCTACACAGAATCTGTTCACCTTCTCAATTAGAAACTCTCTATGGAGGTACAACTGCTTTTTCTCCTTCAAGAAGTTTCAGTACTGCAATACTGATGGTTCAGCTTCCCCTGTTCCTCGTTACTGTCAACAGGCTTGCTGACATTCTTCCTTTCCCTATTTCACCTTACATTCCATAGCATACGTAGAATTCATCTGTACCTCACCCCATTCTGATAACGCAAACTACTCTGTACACTTTCACATAAAATGTCCATAGATTTGAGCTTTTTTTACCAAGTGTTCCCATATATTGCTGCTAAAACTACACCTTTAAAGGATAAAAAAATGAGATAAAATACAGCATATAACTTTTCTTAAATTGATAAATCTGCTCAGATTGAGAAGATAGAAGACACACACAAAAACCTTTAATCTCACAGTAATTTTTATTTTCATATTCAATACAGGTATTTGGGCCACAGGGTGGAAAGATTCCTGTTCTTACAATGTTCATGACAATTTGCTGGAGGAGCTCTGTTTCAAACATATCTTAGCACCTATTACTGTGTTTATGATGTCTCTTTATAGCCCCAATCTCAAAGCACCTCTCTCAAGACACTGCTAGACCTATTGATATTAGCAGTAGCTCTGATTGCCCCTATATGTCCAAATATGCATGCATACCCAGTTATAGTCCTTAGTCCTTTAGTCCTCAGAATTTATAGCTCGCTACAGCTACCTACAAGTTAGTGAGCAAACTCGCAGAAAAATTATGGGATGCACTGCCCTCTTGTGGAGATTTAAATAACGAACATACGAGCTCCACAAACGTTCTTGACCTTGGAGCACCATTAAGTCATTTTCTGGAAGAGCTTGGATTCCAGCTGAGCCAATAAAACCTCTCTTCTCTGCATCTTATCTTCATTTAACTTTATACGGTTGTCTTTGCAGTAATCATTATACTGTACAAGTAGAAGGGAGACTTGTTTTTCTTACTTAGGCAAATATATATTTGTATCATACATTATACATGTGTACATGTGTTTTATATAAATACACACATATGTCACGTGCATGTTATGTATTCATTATGTACATGCAAAAATATTTTCTGAAAATATTTATGAACTTTTGTATGTGTTTTTCAAATATAAACAATTCAGAAACAGTGGTCTTCTTTACAGACTTCTCCACCTCGCTATACTTTCTCTGTAGCAGAGGCCAAAAGCAGTTACTCTGATTCCCTGACATCCCTTCTTTAGTCATTCTTGGATGGAAACTCTTTACACCATTTAAATATGTTGGCCAAAGATGCTTCACTGGGGCTTGGATAGTGATTTCTGTTTTGCTGGGCATTGCTATACGTTTGATGTAGCTGCTTCTCCTTGTCCTGTAAGATGGGCATGGGGCTGCCTGAAAGATAGGCTGGCATTCCTCCTGTTGTGATGTTCCTGTCAACAGGCTGACATTCCCTCAACAGTTGTGAAGTTTCCTCACAGAAAAGGCATTACATTATTTAATAGCTATGTGGGATAAACATCTTCAAACTAAATATATGTAAAAACATTTACAGGGACATTACATACTATACAGCCCACATATTTAACTTAAAATTTCATTTAATCTGACTTCCTGTGGTTTCCCCAAGATACTTCTATGTGCTTGTAACACTGCTCTACTTCAAACAGAAAGGAAACTTCCAAGTTGTATAGAAGAGGAGGAAGGAGCATTTAGTCCTGAGCTGGAAGAAACTAAATTTATAGGGGTTCTTAAAAATGGACTAATGGAACACAGGGCTAAAGAGTAAGAGTGGTGAAGGAAATCTGGGGTACCAGCTCTGCAGGTGCTTCTTGAGTCTGGAAAAATGGCTCTTGAAAATCTTATGATTTTCCAGTAAAACTTCAGCAGCACTCTGCAAGAAGCAATGACAAAACAGTTTGAGAGCTAACATGTGCTTCTGTTTTATACACCTTGAAAGGATCTGAACTTATTAAAGAAATCTAGAACACCTCTTCATAACCCACAAATTTAGTTGAACATGTAAAGTAATATGAAAATGAGATACACTGTTACATGAAGCAGGTAATTCTTTGCTCAGAAGACTGCTAGCTACGTATCAGTTGTATATAAAATGACATAGCACAGGTGGTGTTAAATGACGCAAAGATGTTATTTAATCAGAGGAGAATTCCTGATGACTAGGTGGTGAAAGAGAACCCATATGTAAACCACTAATCTTCTTTTCCCTGTAGTAATAGATATTTCATGAACTGTGTAGATATATTGGACAATGGCAAGTATTTTAATGGCAGAAAGGCAGTCCTTGAAAAACAAAGTCTGAGCTCTTGGAATTATTGAGGTTATCATAGAAAAACCAAGCTGCCTTGTAAAAGATGAAATGTTCATCCTCTTCATAGCAACATTCCCAGAATTCACTAACTTCTTCACAGTGGAATGCATTATTCCTCAAACAGGTTGATCTTCTGGTTGCAGAGGTGACTCAGCCAAATAATACATCCCCATTGAAATACATACACTCATCTGGGGTACATATAAAGTAGACAAAAGGTTTTGATTACCACAGTGTTCTTTACATGCTTTAAAGTGTTACTGTAATGGCTGCAGCATAAATGCAAAGGCAGAAAAGCAGAGAGGTCAGAACAAAAATGTCAAGGAAAGGTCTCTGCAGTTCAGAGCCCTCTCTGCTGTTTTTCTTTTGCTCAAAATACCCCAGGTACTTGAAAAAGACAACAGTTTCATAACCAGCCTTGGACAAGCTAATCTTTGACTAGTTCAGTCAGCCAAGACAGAAACTTTTCTGATAACTGCTGGTGCCATTGATCGTCACCTCGGTCAGCTCGCTGCAGCCTCACAATTGTTCTGCCTGATGCTTGCAAGGCTGCTACAGAGCAGTTAATGATGATTACTCGTCAAATCTCTTCCAGCTGTGGTAGCTGATGTGATGTAGTTTGGCTTTTTCTCATATGGTCCAGAGGAGGCCCATGAGGATGATCAGAGGACTGGAGCACCTCCCGTATGAAGACAGGCTGAGAAAGTTGGGGTGCATGGAAACCTCATAGCAGTATTCCAGTATCTGAAGGAGGACTACAAGGGTGCTGGAGAGGGACTCTTCATTAGGTACTGTAGTGACAGGATGACGGCTTAAACTTAAGAAGAGGAACATCAAGTTAGATACAAGGAAAGTGCTTTACTGTGAGGGTGGTGAGGCATTGGAATTACCCAAAGAAGTGGTAAATGCTCCATCCCTGGCAGTGTTCAAGGCCAGGCTGGACAGAGCCTTGGGTGACATGGTTTAGTGTGAGGTGTTCCTGCCCACGGCAGGGGGGTTGGAACTAGGTGATCTTAAGGTCCTTGCCAACCGAAACCATTCTATGATTTTATGATTCTATGACAAGACTACTCCTCCCCCTTTTCCACAAAAACACATTTTTCCTAGTTGGCTCTCCAGCTATCCCAGAACTATTTTCAGTATTATGGATTTGCAGAGGACAGCTCTCTTCATTCACAGTTAATCTAAGCATTTTATTTGCATTTTCAATTCAGTATAATTTCCCTAGGTTCACAGTATTTTTTTAAGCATTTTTAAAGATAATTTTTCTATTCTGCTCTCAAGTCACTGCCACCCCTTTAAAAAAATAGTAGTTTCAAAATTTAAATTCTGTTACTTAGGACAATGTACAACCTGTGAGGTTGTGGTGAATACAGCTTGATCCCCTGCACCATGACAGCAGCAGGAGGCCCAAGGGTGGGGGTACCCCAGCAGCCCCACAGGGGCAAAAGAGTCCTCTGCCCCAGCCCCTCCTGCTACCACAGGAGCCCTGTCTGAGCTCTGCTACTGGAGGGGTCCACACTGAATATGACAGGGTTGTTAGATATGTATGTGTGCCTGCATGCATGTATTTTTCCACTACCAGACCTTTGTCCTGACCAGCCAGCAAGTGGAACAGCAGTCTTTGGATGCTGTTTGTGTCTGAGCATGCTCTGTGGCTAGCCATTCACACACATATACACGTGTCACAGTGTGACCATGGGTGCTGGCTGGCACTACTCAGACTCACTGTTGAATATATATTTATTTTATTGGGAATTAATCTGACTTTTTATATTGGACTTTTTATGTTCAACTTTACTTGCTTAAAAGGCCAAACAGAGAATATCTAAGATTTGCATCAAATCAGGCGATGATCATAGTTCCTTCTGATGAAAAAAAATGAATAGTATTGCCTCTTTGCCAACGCTAGGAATCACAGAATGGTTTGCGTTGGAAGAGACCTTAAAGATCATCCGGTTCCAACCCTGCCATGGGCAGGGACACCTTCCACTAGACCAGGTTGCTCAAAGCCCCATCCAACCTGGGCTTGAACACTGCCAGGGATGGGGCAAAGCCACAGCTTCTCTGGGCAACGTGTGCCAGTGCCTCACTATCTGCATAGCGAAAGAACTTCTCCTTTATATCCAATTTAAATTTACCCTCTTTCAGTTTATTCAAGAACTATCGGAACGGGTCTGTGTGGTGCTAAACGTGGCTCCTACGACACGGAATCTGTGTCTGTCCCTCTTTATTTAAGCCTGCTGCCGGTGGCTGCTCCCCACGCAGCACCCACCCCTCCATAGCCAGCTGCGCCCGCTTGCCCGAGGCCGCCAGGACCCGGAAACACCGGCGTGGGCGCCACCCTGCTCCCGGGCGCGCCGTGAAGCAGCACTTCCTGCCCTCCCCACCCCGCGTACTGCCCCACCTTTGGTCCGCGGGGTCTCCGCAGCTCGCTAGGGCGGTTACAGCCCGGCCCCGCCCCGCGGCCCTGCCGTCATATAAGGCCGCTGCTGCCGCCGCCACGGCCTATCCCGAGCTTGTGCGGAGCGGGGGGCCGCTGCCGCCATGGTGTTGCACCCGGTGCTGGGGAAGCTGGTCAGCAAGAGGGTGGTGCTGGCCAGCGCCTCGCCGCGCCGGCAGGAGATCCTCACCAACGTGGTGAGTGCCCGCCTCGCCTCGCCTCGCCTCTCCCCGCCTGGGCCGGGGGGGGGAAGGCCGGTGGTGCTGCAGCTCGACCCCCGCTCCCGGGCGCTGAGGGTGTGCAGGTGCTCAGCGCCGGGCTGGGCCTGCGGTGTCCGCCGCCTCTCCGGCCGCCGGTCCGCCTGCACAGAGCCGGCACAAGCCCTCGCCGTGCTTCCTGCGGCAGCCGCTTGTGCTGCGCCTCGGGGCGATACCGGCGGTCCTTCCCCAGGCCGGCCTGGGCAGAGGCAGAAAGGCCCAGGGTTGGGCTTCGAACGGCAGGTGCTGCCCCGAGTGCACGCTGTTTTACATAGGAATGTTACTGTTTTTTCAGTACCAGTATTTCGTGGTCAGCTTTCCTCTGTAAGCAAGTACCGTGCGCATCAGTTTCACTTAACCATCAAGGTTAATATGAGAATGGATTAAAGTATCCTGCTGACAGGGGGTGGTGTGATCAGGCAAATGGAAGACTTGCTCAGACTGGAAAATGCCAACATAATTGTCTCTGGCGTCCTCAACATAAAAAGGACATGGAGCTGTTGGAACAAGTCCAGAGGAGGGCCACGAGGATGATCAGGGGACTGGAGCACCTCCTGTATGAAGACAGGCTGAGAAAGTTGGGGCTGTTCAGCCTGGAGAAGAGAAGGCTGTGTGGAGACCTCATAGCAGCCTTCCAGTATCTGAACGGGGCCTTCATTAGGGACTGTAGTGATAGGACAAGGGGTAACGGGTTAAAACTTAAACGGGAAGTTTAGATTGGATATAAGGAGGAAGCTCTTTACTGTGAGGGTGGTGAGGCACTGGAATGGATTGCCCAGGGAAGTTGTGAATGCTCTATCCCTGCCAGTGTTCAAGGCCAGGCTGGACAGAGCCTTGACATGGTTTAATGTGAGGTGTCCCTGTCCATGGCAGGGGGGGGTTGGAACTACGCGATCTTAAGGTCCTTTGAAACCCGAACTGGTCTATGATTCTATATAATAGTAAAATTTGGAAGATCTTGCAACAGACTACATGAATTAAAAATGTGCTTCCATTACCTGCCCTTTAGCTATTTAATACCAAAATTTGTGAAAATTTTACTTTGGCTTCTGAAATGTATGAAAGTTTCATGGGATTAGTATTATGAGGAGGAGAGACAGCAGAATAGGTAGCTGTCCCTTATTCATTCTGCAGAGCACTTTTGGGACACAAAGGAAGCTGTAATCCATCATTCAGACCATTCAGGCTCCATGGAAGCACATGCTGACCTCACTGGGCAGGCTGCAGGGAGCTTTTGAATGACACTTGGGTATTATAATACATCAGATTTAGATTGCTTACTCTTGTTATTCTTCATGGGAGAAGTTGAATTTGAATAGGAAGAGGTATATTTTCAGAACAGAGACTTGGGGAAGCACCAAGGTTCAAGCATGCACAAAGTTAATAGAAGCACGGTGTGCCTGCTGGGTGTAGTAAATTTACAGGTATAACCTGGAGGCAAGACGCAGGAAGAAGGGGGGGAGGGGAGATTTTGACAAAACCACACAGAAACTGTCTCATGTTTTCTGTTTATCACATGTATAATGACAGATAAAGTGTGGGTGGCAAATCTCCTGTAAGAGTGTGTACTACTGACATGCAAGTAAAGTGCGGTGGATGAATTCAGTAAAAAATACCCTGTATCAGAATAGTCTGTGAAATGTGTAAGTTTTATACTGTTAGATTTTTATGGAAGCAACCTTTAATAATAATATCAGATTGACTGTATTGCATTCCTTTGTTACAGGGCCTGCGGTTTGAGGTTGTTCCATCCTGGTTTAAGGAAACACTCGAAAAGTCGTATTTTGCAGCCCCTTATGAATATGCTGTGGAAACAGCAAAACAGAAAGCTCTTGAAGTAGCGAACAGAATGCATGTAGTAAGTCACCGGCTATTTTGGCAATAAGATTTTCATCTTTAACTGGTGTGTGTTACTGTGACTTAATTTGCATGTATTTCTTAGGTGGTCTCAGTGCTTTTTCCCCACTGAAGGCAAATGCATATTGTTCTGTCATTTGTAAAAGATAGCTTCCTGAAATTAGCTCACCGAATCATAAGAAGGACTTGTGACTGCAGTTCAGGCTTGCCACAAACAGAAGTGACATATCTTTTCTTAGCAGCATACCTATGCCTGCTTGGGATCATACACTCCATAGTTCCTTCCAGCAGTCAGGTATGTGGCTGGACAGTTGTGCACTCCAGGTATTTGTTGTCTGTGGAGGCATACTCTATGGAAAAACTCACTGATGTGAACCCAGGGCTTTGCTGTAGCTTTCATTGAACAGTAGTTAAACAGTTGTGACAGGAGTATAACTGTCCTGGTTTCAGCTGGGATAAAGTTAATTTTCTTCCTAGTAGCTGGTGCAGTGCTGTGTTTTTGACTTTAGTCTGAGAACAACACAGATAACACACTAGTGCTTTCATTGTTGCTGAGTAATGCTTACCCTGATCAAGGACTCTTTGGTCTCCCATGGTCTGCCAGTGAGGAGGGGCACGGGAAGGTGGGAGCAAGCAGAGACAGGACACCTGACCCAAACTAGCCAAAGGGATATTCCATACCATAGCACATCATGCCCAGTATATAAACTGGAGGGCGTTACCCGAAAGGACCAGATCGCTGCTCAGGTCAGGCTGGGTATCAGTTGATGTGTGGTGAGTGGTTGTATTGTGCATCGCTGCTGTTTCTTGTTGGTTTCTTTTTTTGCTTTCCCCTTTTGATTTTATATTGTCTCCCCTTGTTATTTCCTTTATCATTATTATTAGTAATATATTGTACTCTAGTTATTAAACTGTTGTTATCTCAGCCTTCAGGTTTTACATTCCTTTGATTCTCCTCCCCATCCTGCTGGGGGGGGGGGGGGGGGAAGGAGGGAGGGGTGAATAAGTGACTTGCGTGGTACTGAGTTACCAGCTGGGTTTAAACCACAACAAGCTCAGAATTTGTGAGTGTAGAGGTGCTGGGGGAAAGCAGAAAAAGAAGACAAATTCAGTTTTAAAGCGTTCTGGGCAAAGAAACAGGCAATTTTCTTTTAAGAAAGGAGAAGCTGACATGATTTCAGATTCTGTAGTCATTGCATCCATTTTGTGTCCTCAATATTGTCAAAACCAGTGATACAGCTTACACTGTAAATGCATATTTGACTTCTGCCTTGGCTGTGATCACTCTGAGTACATAAGGTTGTTCCCTACCAGGACCTATTTCAAAGTCTCTCTGATTAAGATCCCACAAAATGTACCATAATACAACTCTGGAAGAGAGGAGGGTGTTTGTTTGAACCTATACTGATGTCAGAAAAGGAATTTTAAACACTTTAAACCAACAGTGCTGCCAGAAGTCACCGCTCTTCAGAACAAATATTGCATGATGTCCAATGTAAATCGTTATCCAGGTTTCTGTCAGCTTCTTTTCAGAGAATGTTATAACATTAGGAGAGTGAATTTTAAACCCAGCCTTGCTAACTGACTTATATTGGCCTTTCATTGCAAAACACTATGTTGTGATAATGCTAATTCAGTGGATTTCAAAATGGATTTTTTTTTTAATGGTGCCTGGAATTAGTTTTATTTAAAGCACATCAACAGCCTTTCTATAGAAAAATCACCTCCTTACAAACTCTTATTAATATAATGATCACAGTTGCAGACAAGTTTCCTGTCTTGATGTGTTAAAAAATAACCATGTACCTCATAACATGCAAATCAATCAAACCTCAGCTATGACGACAGATACAAGTTTTAAGTTTATACTCCTACCTCTCAATTCCCCAAAACAGAGAGCATGTGTTCCCTTTTTTAGCAAAACTTGTCTTGGAAAAACAATCCTAGAGGACTGTATTCCCTGGCTTCCATACACTTGCACTTTCTTTAAAGGAATTGTGCCTGCCACCTTGAAGACCATGACTTTTGAGAATGCAGGTAGTTCTTTCCTGGATGTATTTGTTCATCAATAATGTATTTAGGCAAAATCATGACCTAGGAATGGTCTGCTCATGCCTCCTGTTTTCCTCACTTTTATGGTGACAAATTATTACAAATTTTGTAAACACTACAAAAGGAGTGTCTTGTTCTCAGGCCAGTGTTGAGTCCTACCTGTAAACCAGCAAACTTTGTTTTCTTACCATAAGTTATAAAAGATTTTGTTCTTTCTTCCTCTTTTGAGAAATACCTTCTTTTTTTCATGCCTTTGCAGAAACACCTGAGAACACCTGATGTTGTCATAGGAGCAGACACTATTGTGGTAAGAAGTCTTCTGTGGTTTAGCATTGTTTTAATTTATGAGAAGTGTAGAAAGTACTTGTATCTTTAGGTTTAAAGTTTGAAAGCTGTCTTCACTGAGAAGTTATACCTGCAATATGATGTATCTTGTGGGTTTTGTGGGTATGGGTTTTAGGGTATTTTTTCCCAACAAGGCAGGTTTTGGTATCCTGAGTGCTAAAAGCTTTGCTGCTGTTTTTGCAGAGATGCTAATATTACATTAAATATTGCCTTGGATCATCTAGTATGTAAGGGAAATTCTGTTCTCAGGCAGTTGTTGACTGTCTAGAAGTCCAGATCATGTGAACTGTTCGGTGGTGTGCCTTGTAGTGGGCATCACTTTTTACCTGTCATCTTCACAGAGACAGTGAAAGGTTAAGGACAGAAGAGGTTGAATTACCCTTTTGTTTGAGAGCTGCAGCCACTGGAGTGTTGCACTCGTTATGTGCTTGGTAATAAATCACATGTTCTGACAAAACACCTGTGATTCTTGCTCTACTCAGTCACTCATGTTTGAAGCCCTAGCTGAAATTATGGTTCAAATATAATTTCTGACCTCAGTTTCTGAAAAGTAAGAAAAAGCCTCACACTTTCTCTATCTTTGTTTTAGTCTGTGGATGAACAAATTCTGGAGAAACCAGTTGATAAGCAAGATGCATATAGGATGCTCTCCAGGTCTGTAGTTTTAAGTAAGATTCCAAATATGTATGTTAAGCTGTTCTAAAAGGAGCTGTACAGATTCATTGATGTATATGAAGAGCTCCGTGGCTGGTTGGTTGGTTGATGTTTTTGTTTTGTTTTCGGTTTGTTTGTTTGTTTTGGTGGGGTTTTTTGCCTAAGTTCAGTAGGTCAGTTGCTTAATCATGGGTATGAAATGCACTTAAAATTTAGCCTTTTAGAACTCCTCTAAATTTTGTTCTATATGAAAAGAATAAAGTGCAGACACTCACTGTTTCATCTTACAATTAATTAGGTAGAATGCTAGGGGGGATAGTAGGAGTGTGAGATGGATTACCTCAAATAGGCTGGCTAGTATTTAGGAGACTATTCCTTAACTACTCTCTTCAAAGATTCAAGTTCTTATGCTATTTATTACGCATTAAATGAAAAACTAGAAGCTCTCAAAGGAATCGGCCACTATGTGGCGCTCTGGAGCCACTACCAATGAGCCCGTGGGAGGGTCTTCCTCTGCCTTCTGCATCTGTTCCCCTGGCTAGCCATGGGATCCCTGGGGCCATTCTAGATGAAATGAGTACATAACCTTTAGTTGCCTATCAGATGTTTGGTCTAAATTGCGTCACCTAGCTATTCATTGCCAGCTTTCAGTGAAGATGCCTGCAAGAGTAGTGTTTATGCTGATTGGCTTTTTCTTATGCATTTGAAATAGTCACTTCCTCCTGTTTACAATAAATAAGCTGATATTGTAGACTGCTGTGGACATCAGTACAAGTGAAATTTTGGAGACTTGAAATGTCTGAATCTCTTTATAGTATTTTTTTGTTTTGTCAATGTCTTTTCACCTATATTGAAATAAAAAAAAATGTTTGTTTAGGATAATACATCAAGCATATATATTAATATAATGGTCTGTCTCTCAGGCTGTAGTAACATAATCATGTAGAACATTTTTGCACATGGCAGATTTCATCAAACTGTTGCTTAAACCATGTTTTTTTTTCTCCTCACAGGTTGAATGGGAAAGAGCACAGTGTTTTCACAGGAGTGGCTATTATACATTGCAGCAGTAAAGGTATATGTGTCATTTTATTAAAACTCAGTGTTTGCATTAAAAATTTTAAGGATCTGTACAAATGAAGAAACAGAATGGAAATTTTTCATACATAGTCTGAACTGGCTTCCTACTCAGATGAGAATTACCTTATCGATATGTAAATTAAAAGCTTCCCACAAAAGCCAGCTTTTTCATTGTATTCAGTTTTCACACAGGAAGGAGGATGAAAAAATAGAGTAGACTTCAGAAATGCTGTCTCTGAAAGCTATAGGACTAATTAAAAGAGTAGTGTAAACTGTGGGAACATTTTAAATGAAATTCAAGTAAGGCACTACAAAATGTGGGGCTGGGCAGATTTGAACCATATTAACTGTTCCTGTGTTATATTTACACTAGCTGATGAATAAAAGCAGTTGCTTGTATTTTTCCCTTTTCAGTACATAAGGGAAGCTTTAGGTGATGACTGAAATAGTGGCTTAATGCCTCAGATTGTTAATGAATTGTAATGAATTGTAGGGAGCAATATGTTAATGTTCTTTATCAGATAATTTATATAGTAAGCAAGTGGGGTTTATAAGAACTCTACCATTATAATTTAAGGGGTGTTTGGTTTGAGGGACCTCCTCTGATAATTATGCCAACATTCTTTTAATGGAACTTTTGCATGGGTCATTTCTATGAAATTTTACTGGACATAGTCTTTCTGTAGACAAATTATTTACAGCTTTTAATCTTTACTGAAATGATTGCTCCTGACTCTTGTCAGTCATCCAGTACCCCTACTAATATGCTAGTACAGTAGAAAGAGAGCTGCTGCAATGTTATCAAGGGGTTCCTATGAGCTATCCAGCAAGAATAATAATTGTTTAGGAAGAGAGTAAAAATGTACACAACTGTACTACTGATGCTGTGACAGCACATATCATTTGAAATATACAGATTTAAGCCATATGATATTCAAATGAATAAAATTACCATAAATCTGCATATTTCCCCAAGGGATTCAATCAACTGAGTTTTGTAGAATACATTTTTAGGTTTAAGTTATAATTAAAGCACTGTTGTTAAGCACCACATACATGTTACAGATGGGATTTTCATCTTTTTTAGCAACAGGATCCACACCCAGGTGTGCAGTTTGTTACTGCACCTCTGGCCTTCTCTCGGCCACTTCTAGATACAAAAATAATCTTGTTATTTCTTGAGAGACAATACAAAAATTACAGTGATAGTTACTGATGGAACTGCTGGATGCCTGAGTCTGCATTGTAGATGTAAATCCACATTCAAGCATTTATAACAGCTATATGTTTAACTATGAGGTTTTGTTAAGAGTTCTTTGACAAAAGTCATAAAGTTAGAAGGGTGTTTGTAGCCTTCTTTGTTCTCAGTGCTGGATGTGTATGCTAGGAGTCCATAAATAGTTCTGCATAAACATTGTTGATTTACGAGTGCATCCCACATAGGAAGTGTCCCAAGACAGGGCTGTGGAGCTTGAAAATGCAAGCTTTCACTTTCTGGGGAAAGTTGAGTCCATTGTCCCTAAAGAGCATTATTAGTCATTTCATACATCTGTGTAATACCTTATTTTTTCCCAAGCAAAAATGTCAGATGAATGCAAAATAAAACTGAGCTGTTACGCTCTTTAAACTACAGTTTCTGCTTTTAATGAGACCTTTTCCCTTCTGTAGATAATCAGCTAGAGATGGAAGTCACTGATTTCTATGAAGAGACTAAAGTAAAATTTTCTGACCTGTCTGAAGATCTTTTGTGGGAGTACATTCATAGTGGGGAGCCAATGTAAGTAAGACCCAGAAGCTATCACACAATATTTAGGAATAGGCCTTTGCGTGTGTTACTAGCTACAGGCATAAAACCATTTTGTCCTGTGTTCTGCGAAGCTTTGCTGTGTGTATTTGATAAATGATAGCATGGGTGATGCAAGGTAGGTATTCTGTTCCTCTCGTCTAGAGCTGATTGCTCCAGGGAAAGTGAACTACCTTTTTAGTACCCTAAGAAATTTGGGAAGTGAAGGCTGTTGAAATGCTGGATTAGAGCAAGTACTCATGCAATATACAGTTACCTCTCTGTTAACAGAGGCATTCAGGGAGCTTGGATACCTGAGGCAATGGATAGTTCTCATTATAAAAAAGGTGAATAGACTTAGTATTGGAGAACTTTATTGAGGGAAACTAGAACTTGGTTTAGTTTATTAAAATAGCACTGCTGCAAGGAATGATGGCTAAATTTTCACTTATTCTTGTGGCCAGCTTATATACGTTCCTATGCTACAGTTATCTCTTAACTTCCATGTTTCCATTACTCTTGTAATATACTGGTTACTTACAGACAACATTGATTCCCCAGAATAAATAGGATGAGAACAGAATGTCTAACTACTCCTAAGATGAAGCTGACTAGATTGTTTTGTTTATTTTGGGTTTGGTTTTTTTTGTTTTTTTTTTGTTGAACTTATTTGAAGACAAAAAGGCTTTCCCTTTCCCTTGTATTAGCTGAAGCTTAGTGAAGGCAAATCAGGCCATAGTTAGCACTATGGATGGCATATCCGGTGATCGGAGGTGAAATTCTGGCTCTGTAACTTCAGTTCTCACTGTGTAAGAATGTCATGGTGTTTTTTAAACTCATTTGTGTTATAAAACAGCACTGTCACTTTTCATTGGGGAAAGAAGAACCACTGTAGATTTAGAATTTATTTTAAGTGCTTATCTGTAAATGGGGCAATTTTTCTGAACATGTAAGGTTCCCAGCTTATTACAGAGACTGAAGCTAAATTGGATTATGTAGTGAAGAATGTTTTAGCAACAACGCAGTTTGTAACAGAAATTCCTAGTAGGCTTTTGGAAGGTGATCTTTAGTATGCAGCTGATCAAACTGCAACTTTATGCAGGAGAAATGACCATGGATTTTTAGGAAGAATGTCATTTTGAAAAATATTTTGTGATATTCTGATTATTTCCTCTGGAAGAAAATATGCTTTAGCAGTTCTTTGCTAAAGCAAAAAGGCTCATGAGCAGCACTGGGTAATTCTGTTCATTCTGCTAAGCAGGGGGTGTGACAGCAGGGGCTTCTCAGGGACCAGAGTTTCAGAGAATGTATTTCATTACTTTCTGAAGCAGAAGCCAATCAGTCTTCAAGACAATAGGAAGAGTTTGCTCTGGACTTAGGAAAGAACTACTAAATATAGTGTCCTTTTAAATTTTGCAAAACAGTAAGGTGAAGTCTCTTACGGGCTTTTTCTTCCCCTCCTCTGTGGCCACCCATACATACTGCTCACACATTTATGTGCATACAGGTTTTTCTAAACACTATTGCAGTTCAGATGACCATTTGTTTATTTTTTTAATGGCTGCTTAAGTTTCTGAAAACATAAAAATCAATAATCACATGAAAAACTAAAAGAAAATTGCCTCTTTTGTGCTGTTTGTATTGGGCAGAGGTCTTTTTATAGCAAGGACAGAACGGGTATCTAGTATTTCAAAAGTCTGTCACTGGTGACTCAGGGACTAATTGTAAAAGTGTATAGCTGACTTAATATATGCATAAGGAGCGAGTAAAGAGCACTGACTCAAGGTAGTCTGTGATGAGGCTATAAAGCCCCTCAAATTTTGGCTGCAGAAGGATGGCCTTTCCCTGGTTTTATTCCTGTTTCTCTTTCCAACCAAGGGTTTTCTGCTGGCTGGCAGATCTTTCCTTGCTCTGTACGAAAAGGCTGGACTGTAATAATCTTAACAGTTTTGGACTTGTGTAATGAGTAAACTTTGTTTCTGCGCACCTCTTTGACCCGACTTCTTACTTTGTAATCTTTCCCTTGTGAACAACTTCCTTGATCTCTGCTACAGCTTCCAGTTTGAAGATTCTGTGTGGTTTTTGGTAACTCTGCTCTGAATGGTGGCAGTGAAATCAAAGGACCCTACTGCACTCTGGGAAAGAGGTGATTACAGAAGCTGGAGCTGTACAATTTCAGACTTAACTATGAAGTAATAAATGTAGAATGTAAATGTCATTCTTCCCTTGTATGATTTATCATAAGAGTTACTTCTTTCAAAGCTATATCAAACATAAAATTTAGATTTTGCAAATAATCAGTCTTGCAGTGTAGCTAAGCTCATGGATAGCTTAGAGGTTATCAGCTCTAAGAGCATAAGAGCAAAAATCTTCCAGGTGTAGGATTACAGAAGCAGAGAAAGCTGTGCTGTTCTTACACTGAAATTGACTTTGAACCTTGTTTTTTTTCACGTCATGTTGCTACATTTGACTTGTCTGTAGGAAATAGTTGTTCTACATTCATGGCTATATGGACCAAGACACATACATTGTCAGACACATGTTCTTGCCTTTGGAAACCCACCTAAAACCCAGCCAAGCATCTCCCTTCATCTGTAGGAGCCGAAGGGCTTGTTACTGCAAAAGTGTTTTATTTGATCATTGACTCAGTTGAACAATACAAATATTGTATACATGGTTATACTATTTTGTGGCATGTTCAAATTCTACAGTTAAAAAAGTGTGTTTTAATGTTACATTTGGAAGAGTTACCTCTATTTTATGTCTCTTAACGTTTCCCCCCCCCCTTGTATATTGTGGGTTGGTTTGTTTGGGAGTCTGTTGGGGGCTGTTTGGTTTTTTTTAGGAAAAAACAGTGGGTGTTGCACACATTCCTGCCACATTGTGTGAGGGTTTGTTTGTTGGCTGATCGTAGGGGTTTTTTCATTGGTGTTGGTTTTGTCTTTAAATCAGTGGATATTGCACACATTCCTGCTGAAATCATCTATCTTTATAACAGTTGGTAACTGAAAAATGTTTCAGTTGCAGCAGTGATCTTGCTGTTTGTCAAAAGGTCTTTAAAGGGAGTTGTGTTTTTTATTATAACATAAATTAACTGATGCTGTTAATACTGTTAACAAATGAAGCCTTGATGTTAGTGCTATGCTAATAAAAGTATCCAGTTACAAAACCCATCAGATTAGCTAGAGACAGTTGAGAGCTCTGTAAATACTGATATACTCTGGATCTTAGTATGGAAGATGCTTGTTGATGAAACAGTGGAACTTTTACTAACTACATAGCTTCATGCATTTGGACTAGACCTGTATTTGTAGTAGAGAATCCTTCTCGGGATCCAGTTCAGAATATGAAGCTCTGTGTAAAAATACACAAGATGTGGGCAGTTGTGGTAATGTCCTTCCTGGGAGTATGATACCACTGTTTTTGATGGTCACAATGGTTTTTGCCTCCCTGTCAGTATATGCCATAATGACTTCATCCTACAGGACTGCTACTTCATTTAAAAAATAAAATTACTATTTAGTTATTAGAATATTTCTAATTTAGATGGTATAAGTCTCAAGTATGTCATGAAAGAAGGAATAATTTAAACCGTGACAAAGCTAGATATTGCTGCTGTGTGCAAGATTAAGAGAAAAGCCCTGTTTCCCAGTTCATAGCAATTCAAAAATATCTTTTGCTGGGATACTGATCCTCTGTTTCGTTTAGGAGACTATCAAAAAGGGAATCCAGGAATAAGTTCTAAAAATACAAAGAGCTGGTTCTCATCAAATCTAAGGTGAAGAGTCAGTAATCTTCTTTGTGTAGTAACCTTCTTTCACAAGTAGTTTGTGTAATTCCATACTATTTTAAGTTAATAGATCTGAGACTGACCTTTGGTTTCAAAGTTTGTTGACTTAGGGTTCCAGATTCTGGTGTTATCTTATAGTAAGCACACTCCAAACTGCCTTGTTTCTTAAATGTGGACAATAAAATTGTTGGGTCTGTTTCAGCTTATCTGCCTGTGTACATTTCCATTCCACGTAGTGGAATTTGCATAACTATACCTAAAGACAAATTAGATTTCCAAGGTTACTTTGTGTGAAAATACATTTGTGCCCCAAATTACTAGTATTACAATGGCATCTAAGAGCACAGTGGCATGAACTACAGCTCTGCTTATATCTGAGGGTTATGCAAGAACTAGACAGGGCTTAGTGGGAGAGTACTGGGTTTTGTATTTGAATAGGTTGCTCCTCTCCAGGAAAATCCTGTCTTCCTGATCCTCATTTTAGATATTTCTGTGACTAAGATCCACAAGATACATACTAGTCATTTGAGTTCTAAGATGTCTTCTTCAGTGTGAGTTCTTTTTGGAGCTAACATACTCTTAAGGCCCTTCAGCCTCTTGTGGAATAGAGTGAGGGTCAGGATGCAGCTGTGTGATGCAATAGTAATGTTAAGTTTGTTACCTTTTTGGTAGCCAGGACTTGGAAAATGCTGGGTGACCTATGTCAATGCAGTCTGACTACAGCCAGCTGATGTACCCTCCTGCTTCGCTTACTATGGCACTTGGACTGTCTGAAGCATAAACACCTTAGGCTGCTCACCCCTAGTAGAAATACTTGAGTAGGCCTGCCTTTATTCCAGACTCTGCACTATGTCTGGAGTATTTGTGATCTCTGCTACCTTCACTCTTAACTGTAATTAAATATGTCATTTTTGCTTTCTTTTCCCCCAGGGACAAGGCTGGTGGATATGGAATCCAGGCTCTCGGTGGAATGTTAGTTGAGTATGTTCATGGAGACTTCTTGAACGTGATGGGATTTCCTCTGAATCACTTCTGCAAAAAGCTAGCAGAATTGTACTATCCGCCTTCTAAACACAGCGTACAACATAAAAAGCATGACTCTATCCCTTCTGTGGACACTTTTGAGAACCTAAGTGATGGAGAAAGTGAATCTTCAAATTTCACAGAGCACAAAGGTTCTAGTAAGTTGGACAGCAGCGGGATGTGTTCCTCAAGATCTATTAACAATTCTGAAAACAGTTCTAGTGTCAGAAGTGGATTTATGGTACCTCTGGAAAATCAGAATGGCATGCCAGAAAGTACAACAAAACTTCCATCTAAAATTCTAGAGCTGATGGATGGATTTAGAGCCTCAAAGGTAAGGGGAAAAAAACTCCAACAAACAAAACCCTGCTTACTACATGCCTGGCTGATACAGTTGTTTCATTAGACTTCAATATATAACAGGTAATGTGAAATACTTGAGCTGGTATAAGAATGTAGTAATAATTAGTAAATGACCACTAAAGTATTAGAGAGTCCAAGATAGCTGAAATTTCTGGTGCAGTACAGATGTTGGGGTTTTTTGGGGATTTGCTTTTATCTGTTCTATGGAATTTTAATTACCCATTTGAAACAAATTTTGTCTCTTGAGAGCAAAAAATTGGGTTTGATTTTTTGGTGTTTTGGGGTTTGGTGGTTTGTGTTTTTTACTGCTCACAAAAGCACATCAAAGAGGAAGTTACCTTTGTATACTCTGCAAAGACAGCATTTAATATGGTTAGCTTATCTGAATTAAAACTGTGACAGTAACTATATATTATATTTCCTTTCTAACTTCTAATGCTTAGCATTAGAATTCTGTGGAGGATCTTAGAGGTTTTTTTATTCCCTGTTAAGGCGATTTTTATATACCCTGTTTTCATCAGGTATGTTTAGCTGATAATACGCAGTATCTGAAGGAGGCATGCAAGTAACTTTTTACAAACGGGTCACATGCTCTGTGTAGCAGCCAAGTGTGATGAGAAATAAGTAGCTAGACATTTTACATGCTACCAGTTTTTCTACTCAGTTCCAACCTAGTGAAGACAATAGTGAAGAATGCAAAGGAGAAATAAACACCAGTCATTCTAAATAGGTCACTGATTTCCATCAGTCAGTCATGTTTTAGGAAGAGGTGAAAAAAACTGCTAAAGTGGCAATGAAATGACAAACCTGGATTTAACAAATTTCAGGGGGATGTAGGGAAACATGCCAGACAGTGAACAATGGTTTTGCTGAAACAGCAGAAAGTTGTACTCAGATCTGAAGGAAAACCATAATGTGGTCAGTGAAGATCTGTGGGCGTGCTGCTTGCAAAGCAGTACTGAGAGATTTGGAATAAAGCAGCCTTGAGATTGCTGCATTTGACCTTTTTTTTTGTCTATAGAAGATGGGTTTTGATGTATTTGAACAGGTGAGATGATGTTTAGCATTTCTTCAATTTAATATGGAGACTCATCAGTTTTTGCACATTATATACACCGTTTACAGTTACGGGATGTAGAATTTGGTTTTGTGCAGTAGAGGGTAGAGACTGGAAATAGAAGCAGAAGCTTTCTTTCCCCACTAATCCAGTGTAATGTCATAGTATGAAGTGCTGAGTTTTATGTTGAGCTACTGGGAAATTTTTTTTCCTCAGGGTTTGGATCTTTGTAAATTTAATTACCAGTTGCAGTGAATGCTTCCTGTGATCTGACAAAACACAACATCTCTCCACTTGTAGAATAGGAATAAGAGCACAAAGGCATTTAGTTTCACAAAAGCTCTCAAGTTCCCTTTCATTTTGGTCCTTCAGTGTTGTTTCAAGGACTTCATAAAGCAGAACAAAACTTCCTCCTGGTGAAGTTGTTGCCACCTATTTTACTTTGAACAGCTGCTGTTGCAGAACAGGAGGGGATCAGGGTTAAATCCTACTTTCTCAAGATTAGTATGTTCTGAATCTGCATAGTCTGATCCATACTCAGACCTTTGGGGTTTTTCCTTTGATTTTTCCCCCTACCTCCTTTAACTGAGAATTACAAAATAGTAGAAAGAGTGATTTGAGTCAACCAAGTTGTTGACCTCACTTCTTACTTTCTCTTTCCTGTTCTTACAGTTTCTGGGTGGTATCAGTTCAAAGATTGGTCAGGTCTTGGAAGCCAAATGGTCGTAGTCTAGATGCAGTTAGCTCAGTATTGTGAAAGCCTGGATTATAATAAATCCCACCTTTATGTTCTCATTAGAATAACAGAGGAAACTGTAAAAAGAGGATGACAATGATATGATATATATGCACACACAGTAGCAGACCTTCCCTAAAATTAATCTCTTTTTCTCCATTTGATTTTTATCAAACAGAATGTCAAATCTTTTTTTTTTTTCCTTGGCTGCCTTGATTAAATACATTATAGTCGCCTGCAGTTGCAAAGAAATGGATTCTGTGATTGCTGTGTGCCCTTCCACTCTTGTGCTCTAGAAGGTGTGCATGTAGGACAGTTGTGCTCTGAAGTTTTGTTCTTCTTTTTTTTCCCCTTAATTTTTATTAACCAGACAAGTATTACAGCAACTGAAGCTGTTACACTGCCTTAGCGAAGCTTTCCATTCCTTTCGTTTTGGGCAAATCAAATTTAATTTGATCTTTTGCCATTGGTTCAGATGCTTAAGAATGTTTGACCTTATGGACAGTCTTACAGATTAGGATATGCTAAATACCGGAATAAAGAGGTGGTCTTCCTACAAAATCTGTAGGCTGCGTTGCAGAGTATTTTGAGTTCCCTTCTCTCCCAAACGCCTCTGGAAAAATTCTGTTACTTGGCTAAGATAATGAAACCCTCATAGCAGGAAAGAAACCCTCAGATTATGTAATTATCATAGCAATTTTTAGGAGTTTTGTTAAACTCTGATGCACTTAAAGAGTACTTCTGCAGAGTAATTCTAGGTGAAAGGTTCCTTGATTGCAGTCTTTTAAACACAGTACGCCAACAGGTTTTTTTCCTACATTTAGGCTCTGTTTGTAGCCTCTAAGCTGAAGATGTTTGATCACTTGAAAAATAAAGGTCCACTGAAGGCTGTGGATATTGCAAATGAGGTTGGAACCTCTGTGTGTGGAACAGAAAGACTTCTTGATGCGTGTGCTGCTCTTGGATTACTGGAGAAAACACCACAAGGTGACTAATTCCCCCTCTCTGCAACTGCATATAGTACTAAAAGAGATGCAGGACTGGAAGAGCTGCTTTGAAGGGCACAGGGCTTAACTTGATATTGTGGGTAATTTGGATTTGGGGGAAAGGGGAATGGATTGTTACTTCTTTGCTTTAATTATTAGTAGCTGGAATTGTTTCATCTAGAGGTCAGGCTTTATCTAATGAACACATTCAAGTCTTTGAGGAAACCTTAGATTGCTTTTCTCTCTGAATATAGCACTGACCAGATTTCTAAGAAAAAGTTGACAGTTCCGTGGGCAGTCTCAGGGAGCAGTGTGATAGCTCAGATGTATCACCTGCATTTGGGTCACAACAACCCTATGTAATGCTACAGGCTTGGGGAAGAGTGGCTGGAAAGCTGCTTGGTGGAAAAGGACCCAGGGGTGCTGCTTGACAGCCGCTGAACATGACCCAGCACTGTGCCCAGGCAGTCAAGAAGGCCGACAGCATCCTGGCTTGTATCAGCAATAATGTGGCCAACAGGAGTAGAGAGGTGATCATCCCCCTGTACTCAGCACTGGTGAGGCTGCACCTTGAATATTGTGTTCAGTTCTGGGTCCCTCACTATGAAGTATTGAAGTGCTGGAGTGAGAGAAGGGCAAAAGAGCTGGTGAAGAGCCTGGAGCACAAGGCTGAGGAGGATTAGTTGAGAAAACTGGTTGTTTAGCCTGGAGAAAAGGAGGCTGAGGGGGGAACCTTACCACTTTCTACAACTACCTGAAAGGGGGTTGTAGCAAGGTCAGTATCCGTCTCTTCTCACAAGTAACAGGTGATAGGGCAAGAGGAAATGGCCTCAAGTTGCACCAGGGGAGGTTTAGATTAGGTATTAGGAAAATCTTCTTCACACTAAGGATTGTCAGGCATTGGAACAGGCTGCCCAGGGAAGTGGTGGAGTCACCATCCCTGGAAGTATTTAAAAACTATACAGATGAGGTCCTCAGTGATATGATTTAGTGGTGGTCTTGGCAGTCCTGGAGTGACGGTTGGACTTGATGATCTTGGGGGTCTTTCCAACCTAAATGATCCTATGATTCTGTCTAAAATAAGGACCACATTCCATTCCCTGATGCAGCAATGCAGAGTCACAGTCCTCAGCAGTGAATCAGGGTTTTTACAAGGAATGCTCTGGAATGTGTCCATTTTCATGGACAACAACTTAAATTTTAGTGCTCCTAACTGGAACAGTGCTTGAAGGTGTATATAGGTGAGGGAGTCAGAATTACCTCTTCCATTCCACTCTATGTAGTTATAAGTTTACATATGCATCATTTACATAGTAACACTTGGAATGGTAAAGTGTCAGGAAAAGGAAATAAAGCAGGTTTTCAAATCTGTTAGAGGACAAGACCAAGGAGAAAGCCCTGAAGGCAAAACATATTGGAGAAAACTTAAACTAAGGGAAGGAGAAGCTGTAATCTAAAGCAAAATGCAGCCAAGAATGAGGAACTTATAGTACTCTCCATTAAATATTAGGCGTCTAAATGAGCTACTCTGGTTAAAAATAAAATTTAAAAAAAAAAGCCTATCTGTATCATCCAGTATCTAAATTCTTTTTTTATAAACAAAGTACTTGCTCCTTTAAGAAGACTATTAGAATTATTTCATATAAATATTTGCCCAGTAAAGATAACATCAGGATTTGCTTGCTATTTAACAGCTATGCAGGAAGACATGCTTTCAGATTCTAAGCAGCAGTTATACTGAAACAAAGCCTGGTTACAATTGTTTTTTTCCCATAAGGGTATAGTAATACAGATTCAACAAATACGTATCTGACATCAGATGGTGAATACTCACTTCATGGCTACATTATCCACTCTAATGACCACCTTTGGCCTCTCTTCACATACCTGGAGTCTGCTGTCAAAGAAGGCAGCAGGCAGAACCATCGAGCCTTTGGAAAGAAAGCAGAGGATTTATTTAAGGTAATATAAACTCTCATTAGGATGAAAACTATCTCTGAGGAGCCCAGAACTGATCCAGGGGCAAATGGAGACTGGACCATCTATGAAAGTTAGTAGTAACTAGTCCCAGACTTCTGTTCTCGTCAACTTTAGACTCTGAAGTCTGGAGCAATCACAGAATATACTGGGAAATTTGAGTGCTGATGAAAATTCTCTGGCTAAAGTGTTGCCCAGCCAGCTAACATACCCTCAGAACAACCTCTGGGCCTGTTTATGTTCGTGTCCCTTTGTAACACCAGATAGTAGTACCTAATCACACATTCACTCCTTCCACATAGGATGCCATTCACTTTGATGCTGTTGTGCATTCAGTTCAGTCTGTATAATCAGAGCTGTTTTCAAAGTCACTTTGAGTTGATGCAGACTTGTCAATTAGCCACTTGGTGAAGCAGGTTGAGGGGCATAAATATTTGTGCCTGTTAAGGCGAGGGCTAGTAGAGTGAGCAGATAGTGTCAGAACTTCACCTCTGACAGCAGAGCTGGCTAAAAAGTGTACTTCAGACTACATCCTGAGGTTCTTAATTTGTACTAATCTTCTAGATGCTGAAGAAGCCAGTCTGCTAGAGGAGATGTCTACATCCCTCATATAGAGTTGATAAAAGGAAATAAGGGCTTTTGGAAATTAAGGTCCTGTTAGCCTAATGTTAGTATCACTACAGTGAAACAGCGAAGAAGCTGGATGAGCAATTAGTCAAAGGCACTTTTAATTTTAGAATTCTAATGTTAATGGTGTGCAACTACTGCTTTGGTTGTACATAGTTTTAATTGAGTCATGAAACTAAACTTCAATTACTGTGGGCTTTTTTTTCTCTTTTTAGGACTATTATCACAGCCAGGAAGTGAAGCAACGTTTTATGGCTGCCATGCACAGCATTGCCCACCTAACAGCAAGAGACGTGGCTACAGCATTTGATCTTTCACGGTTTAAATCTGCTTGTGATTTAGGAGGTATTGCCTGTAATTGAACGTTAATATGAATTTAAGGGAAAAGCTTGATTTCAGTTCCATATTTTATTACTTAAAACATATGTGTATTTTTTTACTAAAACTGCAGTCGTATTGTCTACTGTTATTTTGCTGGTATGGTAATGTCAGGATAAAAGGGTTAAGTGTAGTTAACTGAAAGCAGAGTTACTTAAATGGTGTTTGAGTTGTTTGAAGTAAGTGAGTGTTTGTCACAATCAGTTACCTACTGACACTGCTCAACACAGAAAACAAGATTTGTGGCTCAGGTGATAGAATATTGGGCTGGGAGCTCCGTTTTAAGCTGTGTTGTTGCTGTCCATTAGCATGTCCAAGACTTTCAAAAGTAATGAAGGATTTATTTCTGAACGCTTCTGTATTGGGGGTGTCAAAGTTGAAACACTACACTGCTAGAACAAAAAGTTGATTCTTTTAGAATTGGTTTGGTTTGTGTGTAGTTTTAATTCTGATTTGATGTCTCTATTTTAGTGTTATATACAGCCTTGTCTTTAAAAATTTCTGCAAATTCTGGGAGAAAAGACTTGATTTGACTTTTTTAAACTTTCAACAGGTTGCACTGGAGCTCTAGCTCATGAATTAGTACAAATATACCCAAATCTCAAAGTCACAGTATTTGACCTTCCAGAAGTCATTGCAAACACCTCTTCCTTTCAGCCTTCAGCACAACACGCGGCTCCAGTAACGTTTGTATCAGGTAAATGTAACACGTGATCTTTTGTCTTATTTTTGTTATCCTAGAGCACAGCACAGGCTCTTCTGCTGCAGAAACTGGTCTGCTACCCTGCTCCAATCTGACTTGTCTTAGTACAAGGCAATGCATGCTTACCCATGCTAAATGGGGACATTGTATTTCTCAAGCCCGTGAGAGTAAAAAACCTGGCTATGGTTGGAAAATGTGGATAAATAAGGAAGTATGAATTAGTAATGCTTTCAGTACCACTGGGAGCAGAGGCTCCATGTCCTTATCTCAGGCTTTTATTTTCTAGGCAAGATCAACATGGTGGCTACAAAAGATTTGAATGTCTCCTTCCTTGCTTTAGGCTTTCTCCTCATTTTTATGTGTTATGAAATTCTTACCTGTGTTCTGCTATTCTCTTTAACTATGCTTTCCTATCTGCAAATCAGTGCATACCTATACCTGTTCATTCTTGTTTCTTTCTTTACCTCTGCTGGAGCTCCTTGTTTCTCTGCAGTATTTTAATTTCATTTTGTAGGAATGTCCTCTGTGGTTTTTGCAGGAATGTACTAACTCTGCTTTCCAACAGGTGACTTCTTCAAGGATAATCTTCCAGAAGCAGATCTTTATATCCTTTCACGTGTTCTTCATGACTGGCCTGATGAAAAGGTACATGTGCTTTTAAGCAAGATAGCGGCTGTTTGCAAACCAGGTAAGTTTTTTTCATTTTGTGGGTTTAAAGGTACATGTTAATGCATAAACATAATAAGTAATCATTAGATGTTCATATTAAAAAGGTGTATTTTTTCTGTCCAATCATAGTAGTCTTTGCTTGAACATCTGTGCTTGCATTATATTAATACCTACTAATGAAAAATGAAATAAAGCTAAACACAGCTTTATTCCATTCCTTGTGTCCTATTGCTGGCCACCAGAGAGAGGGGATCAGTACCATCCCCTCTGCTGCTCCTCTTGAGGAAACTTTAGGCTGTGATAAGGTTTCCCCTCAGCCTTTTCTTCTCTAAGCTGAACAAGTCAAGAGACCTCAGCCACTCCTGAGTCTTGCCCTTGAGGCCTTTCACCATTTTGGTCACCCTCTTTTGCACACCCTCTAGTAGTTTGATGTCCTTTCTATATTGAGGTGCCCACAACTGCACATGGTACTTGAGGTGGGTCTGAACCGGTGCACTGTACAGTGGTTAGCAATGCTGTGCTTGATGCACCCCAGGATACAGTTAGCTGCTTTGGCTGCTATGGCACACTGACTCATGTTTGCACAGTACTAAAGATGAAAGACTACAAAAAGTAGAAAAGCCTACACTGCTAAGATTAGCTGCTTCTTTAATCCAACAGGATTAACTAGCTATAAGGTTTGTTTTGTAAGAAGCATTCAGAATTGGATCTAGGCCATAAAGCATAATCCCATTTGGGGGAGAGGGGGGTAAAAAAAAGATAATTGTGGGTTACTGTCTTAATCTTATGCAAAAATTGGGGTATGACAGATGCTTACAGGAGCTGCTTAGTACAAATGGAAACACAACTTAGTTTAAGAGCATAGTCAAAAAGTGATCTGAACTTCACTGAAGTGAAGACAGTGCTCTAAACTCCCCCCTTCCTTTTAACAATTAAATGGTTGCTTCCAGGAAGAGATTATTGAAAGTAAAATTCTGCAACTGATTCCCACTGAATACCATTAAAACATTAGTGTGAAGGTCCTCTGAAACCATCTCTGAACAAAACACTGAAAACCTGAAGCTAGAAATACTTTACTGAACCACTTTGGGTTGTTTTGAAAATGCAGGAAGTGCCTTGCTAGTGGCAGAAAGTGTGCTTGACGAACAGAAGACATGCCCTCCTACAGCTGTACTACAGTCCCTCAGCATGACTGAAGGCAAGCAAAGAAGTGGCTCAGAATATAAACAGCTGCTAGAGAAACATGGATTCACAAATGTACAAATTAAAATCACAGAAAATTTACTGGATGTTGTTTTGTGCTTCCAGACCTTGTCACCATAGTGTGCCCAGAAGCAGACTGAGATGCTGAGTTTTTACAACATTTGTGCAATGTACCCTTCATCAGCCAGCACATACTGTCAGTTTAGGATAGTTTTGACCCTTTATCTAAGGAATAGTTGCTATAGGCCTTGAATAAAAGTTGGACTTCAGCTTCTGCAGGAGTGAGTTCTATGCATTCAAGAAATGTCTGACCAAAACTCCTATGTATTAAATATGTTCATGTCCAGTTATCATGGCTAGTTTGCAGACTGTATTAAGCTCAGACTTGCTGTCTAGATGTATTGCATGGCAAGTTAAAACTAAAAGCTTTTATGAGTCACATTAATACCTTTGTTTTCCTCAACCTTGAAATTAAAGAGAATTCTCCCTCTGCAATATATTCAGTGGTTACTGCTCATTTTTACTAGAAATAATTAAAAAAAAGTGAATACTGCACCATCTGTCTGAATTCAGGGATGCTTGTCCTCTTTTTCACTTTTTGAGGGAAGCCCCACAGAAAACAACTCAAAGGTGCTCTCTTTTTTAAGCACTTTATCCACAAGCAAAAGTGAAAATAGGACCAAGCTCAAACATATTCCTACAGCATCTATAATGTCACAGAGAAACTTCAGCCATAGTATGCACCCACGCAGGCTGTAGTAAAACCTGTTCCTGTCAGTTTGGGGATTTTCTAAATATGGTTAAATGGCCATATATGTTTTCTGACTCATTACTTGAGTTTTAGGATTTATGTGTAAATTGTTACAAAAATTAAAAATAGAAGTTTCTTCATGTTCTTCCAGTCTTTAGTTGGAGAAGTATGTACTGTATCCCATCTCTTCAAGTAATTTGTCACTAATGTCACGTTTCCTAACATTTTGTTGGTTGCTTGTTTTCCCCGGTACTTCATTAATTTTTTTCTTTTTTTTTTTTTTGATTTAAAGTGTACTTTGTAGTGGAAGCCTTCCAAGAGATTAAAGTTGCACTTTCAGATTAGCTTTCTTTGCTATCAGTTGTGAGTTTCTCACCTGTCACACTTATACATCAATAACCCCAATAAACCAGTGTGAGAGTGGCCATGCCTCTGCTGAATCATGAACCTCAGCCAGTTAAGGAGTTGATGAGCAAAGGTCACTCATCTGCCTGGCAGACTCTTGTCTTACATTACTTAATGAGAAGTTACTTTGCACTTTGAGCACTGAGCAAAGTGAAAGTGCCACAGTGATTCAGTTCATCATGAGAAGTATGCTTACTGCAGAACATTTCAGCTGCGTAAAATCAGGGAAATGCCAGACTTTTACATCACTGGGGCTTTATTCTTGGCAGGAGGCTTTTATGAATGGAAATTTGACTGATCACATCTATACAGACATTTTAAGAGATAAGGGCAAAATATTCAACAGCTGAATTAATTTTAAATGTCTTTTCTGTATTGACGTGGAACTTGCTGTTACGCTTAACAGGCTTGTATTTTGAGAGAGACTCATTCCAGCAATCAGATGTTTCTCATGTCATAATTATTAATTTAGTTTATAATGCTATTCTTTAAGCTGCTATAAACTGAGTCAGAAAATTTCAATCCTAACGTTGGCACACCTGTAGCTGTCACAGACTTTAAAACTGTGCCTCTAAGTACTATATATCCGACTGTAAAATTCGAATAGAATGTGCCTGGCTACCATACAGCCTCAACATAGTCTGTGATTAAAGCACAACAGTAATACACTTTAAGCATTACTCTTTTGGGCATGGTGTCTGGTAATGCACCACAGCTTTGCACTCTCAGGATAATTAAGCATTGGAGCACGTTGCCCAGAGAAGTTGTGGAATTCCTGTCCTTGAGACATGAGGGTTAACGGAATGATAGATGAGTAATAGAAACAAGAACTTCAGCACTTGTTCACTGAATGCTGAGGTAAGAATCCTTGAGGAAAACAGAGAAGTTTGTAAGAAAGAAGAGACACAACTTGGTTGGCTGTCCCAGCACAATCATTTTTATATCAGTTTTTGACCTTGTTACAGCTATTAACAGTACTTCTGCCTGGAAAAGGAATGGAACAGAAACAAAGGGTAGTATGTCATCTGAGCTACCCAGCACAAAAGCTTGAGAATAGCTATTTAATGGCTAAGCCCCTTTGTATGGACCGTGAGTTCATTTTTGGATGTGTTAGCTGACTGATGGATAGTAGAAGTATTTAATGTAGGGTTTGGTTTTGTTCTTAAAAAACAGTTTTTGGAGGGCTGGCATTCTCCTCACTCTCCCTCATCTTTTGGCAGGATATTACACCCCTATGTTAGTCACACCACAAAGGCCTCAGTTCCTACAGAAATAATGCACAATAATACTGACTTTCTCTCTGCTTCTATGCTGCTTGCCATCCACCCTTTTGTCTGCTTGGCAACACTTCAGTATGAATGGGGAGCAGCAATATATCCCCGAACGAAATAGCTACTATTCCTGTCTTATTGTTTTTCATAACCATCATGCCAAGTCTACAAGAAGTCATGCCTTCTTCCCCTAAAAACAGAGAGGTGACTTGAGTTGTGAGTGTTTCATCCCTCCGTAATGTGGAAGGGAATTTCCTGGGTTTTGTTAGAGGAGTGGATTATGCATTTAATGGTGGATTAATTATAGCAGAGCAAATCCATAGAAATTATAAATGAAATCATGTGCACCTGGTAGTTTGCATCCTTACATATGATAGCGGAAATTCTCTTGCCTGATAATGCATTAGTATTGTTGCATGCCTTTGTTTTTAAATTAGGCTGTGAGATTTTGCTGGCAGAAATGGTACTGGATGATGAGAAGAGGAGCACAGCTCTGCTGCAGTCTTTGAACATGCTTGTGCAGACAGAGGGAAAGGAGAGAAGTGGCTCTGAATATCGAGCCTTACTGCAACAACATGGATTCACAAATGTCAAAATCAGAGTGACGGGAAATTTGTTAGATGTTATTCTCTGCATTAAGACCTAAAAAAAAAAAAAGGGGGGGGTTTTAATAGTAAAATCTAGACATTTCTAGTCATGTTTCATGTTTTGTAATTATGCAGTTACAAACTCAGTTTCCTATCAACATTGTAAACAAGAAATGTTATGTCAGCTTTATGAAGTTTTTTTAAAAAGGGGAAGGATTGATTGCATTTATTTTAAACTCAAGTATAATGAAGCCAGAAGATTCTACCCTCAGAAACAAGTCTCCAGCCACAAATACAGCCTTACAGCAGTATTCACATTGCTGAGAAATCAGAGTTTCTTCCTTCATGGTGCAATTAGAATAGTCCTGGGTTTAGAGCAGCTTTGCCCATTTCAGGGGGTCAGCACACTTCAACACTCCATCACCATCCACTTTAATGTCACTTTATGTTAAGCACTCTATTGTAAATAAAGAAACATTCTCTAACAAAGTCTGGAGACTGCTACTGCAGTGGCATGGGCAAGACTGGAAACAGAAGAACTAGAGTGGTACCTTCTCAAGAGTCAAGGTGGACTTCTCCTTCTGTGAGGTTTCTGGAAAAAGGCAGTTGTATAAAAGCGCAAGTTTCATCTGTAATTATAACAAGATGAAATGTAGGAGCACCACATTCGGTTCAAGAAAATCCTCCTCCTCATTTTTAGCCCTACCTAATTTGTGAGCACTTAACAAAAGTGGATAGCAGAATATGAGACTAGGTAAAGAAAATAATAAAAAAAAAAAAAAGTGCAGAAACGGAAAAGAATTTCCCCCAGTCAGGTGTATTTCAGCTCCAAAGGTGAATGGGACAGGACAGCTACTGACTGGGCAGTTTCTATCGAAAAAGTTATGTGCATTTTGCCTTCACTTTTCAAATTGATAACACTTCAGAATCCCAGAACATGAAGTTCTTTTTTAATCAGTAGAAAGTTTCGAGGGGGGGGGGAATCCCAACCTTGCACTCATTGTGTTGTGTTATGAGAATATTAACGTTTCGTTATGAGCTTTCTTAAAAACACACTGAGCTGTGTTTGTCTGTCTGAGAACGTGTACTACAGCCTTTTGTTACCCATGTCCAAAACATGGTTCTCTCACACTGTATGTGCCTAACCCTGTGCTAGCCCAGGAATCACCTTGCTACATTTGTATTATGATACAGGGTATAAAATAGTATGCAATTTACTTTGTTGATGTGCAAACCTCCCCCCCCCCCCCCCATATTGTGACATATGGCCCTGGGAAGAATACAGGGATGTTGTCCAGGAAGCTAGGGACCAGGTTAGGAAAGCTAAGGCCCAGTTAGAATTAAACTTGGCTAGGGATGTGAAAGATAACAAGAAGGGATTCTATAGGTACAGTGCAAATAAAAGACAGACTAGGGACAACGTGGGCCCTCTCCAGAAGCTATCAGGAGAACTGGCTATCCTGGATTTGGAGAAGGCTGAGGTTCTTAACAATTTCTTTGCCTCAGTCTTCACTGGCAAATGCTCTGACCAAACCACCCAAGTCTTGGAAGGCAGACAAAGGGACTGTGAGAATGAAGACCTTGGGCCCAGTGTAGGACAGGATCTGTTTTGAGACCATCTTAAGAACCTGAACACACACAAGTCCACGGGACCTGATGAGATCCATCTGAGGGTCCTGAAGGAGCTGGCGAATGAAGTTGCTAAGCCACTGGCCATCATATTTGAAAGATCAGGGCAGTTAGGTGAATTTCCCAATGACTGGAAAAAGGGAAATATAACCCCCATTTTCAAGAAGGGGAAAATGGATGACCCGGGGAATTACAGACCAGTCAGTCTCACCTCTGTGCTTGGCAAAATCTTGGAGCAGATTCTCCTGGAAGGCATGCTAAGGCACATGAAAAACAACAAGGTGCTTGGTGACAGCCAGCATGGCTTCACTAAGGGGAAATCCTGCCTGACTGATTTGGTGGCCTTCTATGATGGGGCTACAGAACTGATGGACAGGGGTAGAGCAGTTGATCTCACCTACCTGGACTTGTGCAAAGCATTCGACACTGTCCCACACAACATCCTTGTCTCTAAATTGGAGAGACATCAATTTGATGGATGGACCACTCGGTGGATAAAGAACTGGCTGGATGGCCGCACACAAAGAGCTGTGGTCAATGGCTCAATGTCCGGCTGGAGACCAGTAACGAGTGGTGTCCCTCAGGGATCGGTGTTGGGACCGGTCTTGTTCAACATCTTTGTCGCTGACATGGACAGTGGGATTGAGTGCGCCCTCAGCAAGTTTGCCAACGACACCAAGCTGTGTGGTTCGGTTGATACCCTGGAGTGGAATGCCATCCAGAGGGATCTTGACATGCTTGTGAGGTGGGCTGATGCCAACCTCATGAGGTTTAACCATGCCAAGTGCAAGGTCCTACAGCTGGGTCAGAGCAATCCCAGGCACAGCTACAGGTTGGGCAGAGAAGAGATTCAAAGCAGCCCTGCGGAGAAGGACTTGGGGGTGTTGATTGATGAGAAAATGAACATGAGCCAGTAGCGTGAGCTTGCAGCCCAGAAAGCCAACCGTATCCTGGGCTGCATCAAAAGAAGCGTGACCAGCAGGTTGAAGGAGGTGATCCTGCCCCTCTACTCTGCTCTCATGAGACCTCGCTTGGAACAGCACACAATACTCCGTTTGTATTGTGGAGTATCGTACAGTTCTGTACAATACTCACTTGGAGTATTGTGTACAGAGTGTTGTGTACAGTTCAACATAAAAAGGCTTCAGTGTGCGCCCACAGCTCAGAAAGCCAACCGTACCCTGGGCTGCATCAAAAGGAGCATAACCAGCAGGTCGAAGGAGGTGAACCTGCCCCTCTGCTCTCGTGAGACCTCACTTGGAGTATTGTGTGCAGAGTGTTGTGTACAGTTCAACACTAAAAGGGCATGGAGCTGTTGGAACAAGTCCAGAGGAGGGCCATGAGGATGATCAGGGGACTGGAGCACCTCCTGTATGAAGACAGACTGAGGAAGTTGGGTCTGTTCAGCCTGGAGAAGAGAAGGCTGCGTGGAGACCTCATAGCAGCCTTCCAGTATCTGAAGGGGGACTATAAGGATGCTGGGGAGGGACTCTTCATTAGGGAATTTAGTGATAGGACAAGGGGTAATGGGTTAAAACTTAAACAGGGGAAGTTTAGATTGGATATAAGGAGGAAGTTCTTTACTGTAAGGCTGGTGAGGCACTGGAAGGGGCTGCCCAGGGAGGTTGTGAATGCTCCATCCCTGGCAGTGTTCAACGCCAGGTTGGACAGAGCCTTAGGTGACATGGTTTAGTGTGAGGTGTCCCTGCCCATGGCAGGGTGGTTGGAACTTGATGATCTTAAGGTCCATTCCAACCCTAACTATTCTATGATTCTATATAATCCACAGTATATTACACTACAGCAGAGGTAAATGCTATGCCTGGCACATCCTGTTCTCACAACATGTCCTCTGAGATAGATGCGCTCATTCTGAAATCCTGCAAATTATACCCATGAGTAATCAGTGGTTTCAGGCACCTCAGCTTCTGCTCCTTTGTTGTTTCAACAGTCATGTATTTAGGAAAAATAAAATAAAAATAAAGGCTTTATTTACTTTTGTAGGACACATCCATTAAAAGTGAAAGGAATAACAAAAGGTGTGCATTATTTAATGCCCTCCAGGTAGAACAATGTCAAGACTTTCTGAAATAATAGGTATGCTTTCATATAGAAGTTGGGCCATTAGGTGTAAAATTTCACTTTAGGCATACAATAAAATTAGCAGGAATTGGCAGAAATTACTGATGGAGACTAGGCCTACTTCAGTAGGGACAGAGGCCCTGCTGTGTGTGCCTCCTTGGAGAGCCTGCAGAGGATCTTTTGACAGCATCTAATGTGAGTGATGAAACCAGAAGACAGGACAAGGACCACCTCTCTCAAGAAGATGAGATGCTGGGGTTGTTCAGACTGTAGAAGAGAAGGCTCCAGGGAGACCTTAGAGCAGCTTCCAGTACCTAAATGCAGCCTACAAGAAATCTGGAGACTTTTTACAAGGTATGTAGTGACAGGACAAGGAGGTATGGCTTTAAACTGAAAAGGGGGATATTTAGATATTAGGAAGAAATTTTTCACTGTGAGGGTGGTGAGGCACTGGCACAGGCTGCCCAGAGAAGCTGTAGATGCCCCATCCCTGGCAGTGTTCAAGGCCAGGCTGAATGGGGCTTTGAGCAACCTGGTCTAGTGGAAGGTATCCCTGCCTGTGGCAGAGGGGTTGGAAATGGATGCTCTTTAAGGTCCTTTCCAACCCAAACCATTCTGTCTTCACATCATCCCTCCTGGGAACTGGAGTTAAGTTTGTTGGCATTTCATTGTCTCAGGTCAGACCAGGAAATGGACAGAAAAGCCCAGCGATGTGACTTGTCACTGCCATGTTGAGGAAGAGCAGGTGGGAGCAGAACCTGGAAACAAAAAGATGCTTTTGAGAATTACCGAGGGTGGTGAGCATGGAGCAAAACCTGGTGGCACCCAGACAGACAATGCCCCAAATTAGCTGTCCTCCACCTAACAGCTAGTGCTGCCACTCAGGGCCCCGGACAGAAAACAGGGCTTCCACCCTACACTGGCTTCCACCCTACACTGGCTTCCATAGTCGCCACTGGACAGGCCTCACAGCTGTCCTGGCTGTCCCGCTCACTGCCCGCCTGCCCAGGCTCACCGACCGTACCCCAGATCCGGTGCTCCACCGCCTCGCCCTCTGCCTGCGCGGGATACACCGTTTCTGCGGGATACGAGCTGCTGAATTGCGCTCCGCCAAGCAGGGCACAAAGTGGTCACAGAAAACGCTTCGGAGAGCCACCCTTATGGGAAAAGATGGTGCGAACAACGGCGATCTTGACCGTGCGCTGCTGGGCCGGGCTGCGGGAGAGGCCTTTCGGCCTTCAGAGGCGGCACCCGCGACCAAACCGCCTACCGGCCCCTTCCGACGCGGCGCTGCACCACTGGCGCCGCAGGGGCGGGGGCCGCCTAGAAGCGACCCAGCTCCTCCCGCCCCGGCGCCGAGTCCCCGCCCCCGGGGCGGTGTAACCAATGGAGGGCCGGGAGGCGGGGCCGAAGGGACCCGGCATTTAGCCCATGCGCGGGGGCGGTCCCGCCCTTTCGGCTTGAGCGGCAGCGGTGTCTCATTCCCGGCGGCTCCGGCGCGAACATGGCGGACCAGGCCATCTCCTTCCTCAAGGACTTTCTGGCGGGCGGCGTTGCCGCCGCCATCAGCAAGACTGCGGTGGCGCCCATTGAGCGGGTCAAGCTCCTGCTTCAGGTCAGCGGTGCGGCCGAGCCCGGGGGGAGCGGGGAGCGGCGGGCAGCCGTTCATTTTCCTCCTCAGCCCCCCTCCAAGGCCCAGGCGTGCCGGGCCGGGGCAGAGGGAACGGCGTAGGGCGGAGAAAGGCCGACCGTGCAGAACAAAGGGCTTGCGCGGGGCC